CTTTTACTTTTTTAGTATGTTTTGAAGAACAGACATTAATTTTAGTAAGCCTAATTTATTGATTTTTCTAGGGATTATACTTTTTAGTTTCTTATCTGAGAAATTTTTGTCTAAACCAGTCAGACTTTTCTTCCCATGTTTTCTTGTAGATATTTTCCAGTTTTAGGTTTTGCATTTAGGTTATGATCCATTTTCAGTTGACTTTCGTGTGTGGTAGTTCATATTTTTACATACTGATGGTATCCCAGCACCATTTGTTAAAAGGACTATTCTTTTCCAGTAAACTACCTTTGATCCCTTGTCAAAAATTGACCACATAAATACGAATCTATTTCTGGGCTCTGTATTCTGTTGCCTTGATCCATGGGTCTTTCATCAATACCACATTACCTTGATTAGCCTTATATAATTCTTGAAGTCAGGCAGGAGTCTTCCAACTTTGTTCTTTTATAAAAAATGTTTGGCTATTCTAGTTGTACCTTTCCATGTAAATTTTATAATCAGCTTGTTTTTACAAAAATTCCTCATGGGATTCTGACTGGAGTTATGTTGAATCTATAGGCTGAGGAGAAATGATATCTTAATATTGACTTCCAAACCATGAAAATTATATATATATAAAAGATCTTCAATTTTTGTAATCAATGTTTTTGTTTCACATACAGATCTTGTACTTATTTTTGCTACATTGTGCTTCATGTTTTGTGGTGCTGCTATAAATGATAATTTCAGAATTTCAGTTTCTAAATGTTCATTGCTACTATGTAGAAATATACTTTTGCATACTAATATTGCTAAATGCACTTGTTAGTCCTAGTACCTTTTTATTAAGATCCTTTGACTTTCCTTATATAGGCAATCACATCACACCATCCACAAATAGACACTGTCATATTTATTCATTCCCAATCTATGGCCGTTTTGTAAAAAAAGAAGAAAAGAAAATCTTATTGTACAGTGACCTCAGATAAAACATGGAACAGGAATTGTTTTGTTCCCAATCTTAGGGAGAAACACAGTCCTCACCATTCTTGTGATGTTAGCTGTAGGCTTTTTGGTTGAAGACCCTTTCTATTCCTAAATTGCTGAAGATTTTGTTTAAACCATAAATGGGTGTTGGAATTTTCTGAGATGATTTTTCTGTATGTTTCTGGGGGGAAATTTTTGAGATCTAATTTACATACCATAGTATTCACCCTTTTAAATGTAGTAGTAGTTGGTATAGTCAAAAGGCTGTTTTCTGCAATTTTTGAGATGATTGTTTTTCTTTTGTATGCTGACACTATTTTCTTTTGTATGCTGAACTACGTTGATTTCTTTGAATATTGGGTCAGTCTTTTATTTCTGGGGTAAACCCAACCTGTTCACGATGTACTCTATTTACTGTCAGATTTTTGTTGTTGTTCAGTTGCTAAGTCGTGTCCAACCCATGGACTGCAGCACGCCAGGCTTCCCTGTCCTTCACCATCTCCCGGAGCTTGTTCAAATTCGGGTCAATTGAGTCGGCGATGCCATCCAACCATCTTGTCCTGTCATCCCCTTCTCCTGCCTTTGATCTTTCCCAGCAACAAGGTCTTTTCTAATGAGTTGACTCTGCACCAGGGGGCCAAAGTACTGGAGCTTCAACTTCAGTCCTTCCAATGAGTATTCAGGGTTGATTTCCTTTGGGATTGACTGGTTTGATTTCCTTGCTGTCCAAAGGCCTCTCAAGAGTTTTCTCTGGCACCACAGTTCGAAAATATCACTTTTAGGCGCTCAGCCTTTGTGGTCCAGCTCTCACACCTGTACATGACCACTGGAAAAACCACAGCTTTGACCATACGGACCTTTGTTGGCAAAGTGATGTCTCTGCTTTCGAATGCGCTGTCTAGGTTTGTCATAGCTTTTCTTACAAGGAGCAAGCGTCTTTTAAATTCATGGCTGCAGTCACCGTCGACAATGATTTTGAAGCCCAAGAAAATAAAATCTGTCACTGTTTCACTAAATTACAGTTAAATTAAAGTCTGTGGCCTTATAATAAACATCACCCTGAATATACTTTTTGTTTTTGAAAAAACAAAAAATGCCTTAAATGCTTTTATAAAACAATTTTAAAATAAAGTTTTAATCAAAGCCTTTATAACTCAGTATTTTATAAAGTTACTTGGATTATAAAAAGTTCGCATTTGGTCTATAGATACAGGAAAAAATGTGCATTAGAGAAGCCCTAACAAGGAAAAAAAAATTCCTAAGTATTAACATAATGAAAAGTAACTACAGTAATAAAGGCTTCTTAGCTGATTCACTTCCCTCTCCTTTGAGCTGCTGCTCCAGAATTCCTATATAAAATATTAATACTTAAGGATGCAGTATGATCACAGGGCTGGAGGTCCTGGTTTGAAGCTGCATTTACATTAACAAGTATTCATCATCTTAGTTATCTGTGTTATAAAACAGTAAAAATAGAAAACTTTTCTAAACGTATTTTTATTCACATTTTACATAAGACTGAGAAAATGTCAGTTGTCCATATCAAAAAAATGAGGAAGCTAAAGCAGTTGTCTATCGCCCAACGTCACTTGTTTTATTACCTGCAACATTAAGTTTCTGTTTTCCCACACAGTCCAGAGGTAAGACCTACAGTTCTTGAGAAAAGGAAATTAAGGTGCTCCCCATAAGAACATCAAACATGAAAAGGAACGAGAGTAGGTTGAGTTTCTACTTAAAAGAACAGTGGAAATAAGAAGATATTCTCATTTCACAATTTATGTTCATAATTGAGCAAAATGATAGATTTATTTTTCAGTTGTGTGCCTTCAGAAGTAATGTCAAGTTTATTTAATGAGATATTTTTAAAGGTTTATTGCATGTTCAATAGTTAAAAGTGGTATTATTAAAGAAAAAAATGCAAAACCTTCTTTTTACAGAATAGTATAAATGTTTATTTTCTGTATGATTTACTTTGCTGTTCCTGTTTTACAATATAGAAAAGTGTATTCTTTGAATAGCTCTAGTAAATATAAATTTTATCTTTCTACTTTGGGATGTAAATAGAGCTAAAAAATTATATACCCAACCCTCCCCAAATAGTCTTTTAAAATTGTTGAATTAATGTGGATATTAATCTTGTTCAGCAATCTGATGCAAATGCCTAAATACAAAAAGCTGTTCAGTAAGTACTACACAGGAAAGAAAAGGCTTAATACTTTAGATAGCTTCTTGAAAATCAGAAAAACTAGTAGCATTTGATTGCACCTTCAAATTTTTACAAGCAAAACATTCTCAAGCAATGCCATCATACATAATCTACAATTGTAATCCAAATTTCACAAACATTTTATGCACACTGTATATAAATACACATCACAAAGGTGCAATTAGAATTAAACACAGAATATGTACAAAATGAACACAGTTTAGGTGTAGACCAAAAAGGTATTGTAATCTTTTGAAAAATAACTTGATTAGATATTACTTTATCCTCTTACACTAATTTACATTTATACAAATTTTAATTAAACATACTAGAGTGAGGTGCTAAGAATGTCTACACTATCTACATTTAAAGTTACTGCACTATGACTTTATAAATCCAAATTTCAAAAGGAAGATACTTAATAACGGAATCTTCTTTTGGATTACTTAGTTTCTATTGCCTATATCTTGCATGTTCATATGAACATATATACACACTTAATACATACAACTATAGATTCCTTGTAGGAAATGTAATAATCATATACTACTAATTACTGAGGATTAAGGTACCAAACAAAATGCCTGAATTCCAACATGGTTTTTTCTCATAAAATCCAGAGTCCTATTATAATGGGCTCTTAAATTCATAAAGCTTCTGAATTCTGAATTATTGAAAATGATTTATGTTATTTTAGTAATTATATGAAAACACTCATACTGTAGGCTTACCAAATCACTGGCTAAAAATAATGCCATATTAAGCTTCCCTTATAAAAAGAAACCCCACTATAATTCTGAAAGCTTTGTTAGGAGGCCCCTTTCAGTAAATCAAGTAAGAGCCATACATTGGTTTGAAACCTCTCAGTTCAAAAGTCTATAAAGAGAACTGTATGTATAGATGAAAAATCCTCCTCTAAATTCATCTCTTAGAGCTTTAATACCCTTTATTTCTCCATCCAAGTCAAATTTCATACCTGATAATTATGTAAGGTTCTACTTTATCACTACATAATATGTTTGCTTCTATTCATATGCACCATTCATTTTAATAGTACCCCTTAATCACTGACAATTTATTATTTCAAATACATACCGCCTATCTGAAAGAAAATGGAAACATCTCAGAACCTTTCTTCGTCACTCCTTATTGTAGAAACAAATTGTCCATCTTTTGAGAATTATTTTCTGTCCTGTAACACTTTCATGTTTTTTAAAAAAAAGCAAAATAACTTTTTTATTTTAAAAGTGTGCCTACAAATTATTTCCCCTTCTGACAATTCCCAAAGTTGACAACAGGATATTATTCCAGGATTCACCCTAAAAAGTTGATTTTTCTTAAAAAGATAGTGCTTTCTAAACATAAAATGTCATTTGAATATGTTTCATAAGAATTTGTTTATACAGACATTCTATCTGCTAGTACCAAAGAATGACTGGGTAATACCAGTACCACTCTGGCTTTTTGTACTGGAATAAAGCCATACAACACCATACATTATAAATTATATAATAGTAATTTATAAATGTTCTTTGTCAATAGAATCAAAAGGATAGAACATCTAGTTCTTAAGAAACCCAAGCAAATTAAAAATCTATATAACACAATGAAGAAAAATTCAATTTAGAAGGGGCATAAGCAGATTTAACTAAGATTTAAAATGTACTAATTTCCTCATTTAAAATTTCTTCTCCGTCAATGTAATTTCAGGTCTCAAGGACTGAATTAACAATACAATAATTGTCAAGCTATTTCCAGAAAAATCAAGTGTCCCTGCACCTTCAATTTTCTGTACAGTTCCATTTAGCAGTTTTTTGTGCAAGAGTTAGCAATTCATGGCACAAGGGTCACTTTTTGCTTTTCCTGCAGAGTTGATGACGCTCATTAAGCATCGCCCAAATTCCTCAAGTATCATCCGTTCAGCAGCTGCCTTTGATTTTCCCTTCTTGTCTGCCTGCTCCGCCTGGGCAAGAAGGCAATTACACGTGGCTTCAGCTACTTCCTTAGTGACAAACGTAAATGGCAACCTGCAATGATTTTTGAGAAAGAGATGATGGTGGTGTTGCATATCGGCAGAAGTGGCTGACATTCACCCGGACAACTCTGTCTACATTTTCATGATTCAGCAGGCACAGTGAACATCACAGTTTGTGCCATGAACACATGCACATCCCAAAGAACTTCACATTTTTTAAATATAACATTTGATATAAAATACGTTGACCTAGACAAGATTACCTGGTTAACTGAATGATGTAATTGAACATGTTGACGGGCTACTGCTAAAACAAAAGTCCTCCTGATTCAGGAATGTAAGCTCTGAGTGCAGTTTTTGTCTTACTGTTGTTTCTGCACTTCTGAGAGCGGTGCCTGACACACAGACACTCCACAAATATTTGCTCAGTGAATGAAATGTGCAGTGTTGGAAACTGAAAGCACTGTCATCTCCTGGACAACAAAGAAAATAAAGCACTTTCCTATAGTCCCTTATGTTTTTGTAAAAAAAACAAACCACACCAAAATTTTCCATTATTCAGTAACAAAAACAAAACAATGGGGGCACAGATACCGTTCTGTACAGGAAGTTTCAGTCATAAAAACCTAAACTATTGAGTATTAACTCAGAGGAATCCATCCTGAGGCTAGCTATATACAGCCAAGTCTTAAAGCCTAAGAGACAAAAATCAGGTAACCTACTCTAACCACTAAACAACCTGTAAGCGAGCAGTCTCTGATCAAAGGGAACCACCAAATGAATGAAGTTAGAAATGAAGGCCCACTATGACAAGACAGGGTAACAGGATTTCAGCTGCTATACACTTGCATGGAAATTTTTTAAATATAAAAAGTTAGAATTAAAATATAAAAACTTATAATTCTAAATTAGAAACAATCTTAAGATACTAAAGTTAATATTACAATAATATTGTATAATTAAGTAATCATGTATAATAGTAGCATTCATTATATAGTATTTGGAAACTATAGGAGAGTAAACGGAAAGAAAAAAATTCAAATTTTTGCCACTCAAAGACAAAAGCCTATTAACATGCTAGTAGGGCTTTTTTAATACTTACAAGTTTTTCTTATAGTGTTTTTTTTTTTTCCTTTTGGCTGTGCTGCGTGGCATGTGGGATCTCCGTTCCCCGACCAGGGATTGAACACTTGCCCCCTATATTGGATGCATGAAGTCATAACCACTGGACTACTGGGGAAGTCTCTATACTTAAGTTTTGATTATAGAGTATGATTTTGTGTTCTTTCACACTTCATAATAACAAACATTTTCCACAGTTGAAGAATTACTTGTAAATGTTTTAGTGTAGCAGTATCTTTAATCTCCACATAGATATTAGATTGGGCTTCCCTGGTGGCTCAGTGGTCAAGAATCTGCCTGCAACGCAGGAGACTGGGTTCAATCCTGGGTTGGGAAGACCCCCTGGAGAAGGGAAAGGCTACCCACTCTAGTATTCTTGCCTGGAGGATCCCATGGACAGAGGAGCCTGGTGGCCTACTGCCCATGGAGTATGCAGCTGGTCATGACTTAAGAGACTAACAGGCGTATACAGGAAGCAGGTGACCAGAAAGGACCCCTTGTGGTACCTCTCATGAACGTGTCTGCCCACTTCTACTTCAGTCAGTCCAAGAACCTCTTGCTGATTATATGCCAGTTGTAAGAGTTCTTCAGAATTAATATCCAAAATATTTTGTACGAAAGCCTTACTTTTATAAGTTTTATAATTTGGATCTTATTTCAACCTAGGCATTTTAAATAAAATACCATTTGCAAGGCTCATTCCATTTAATAATTCCTCAAATTAACCTCTTACACACTCAAATACAAATTCAAGTCAGCAGACTCTGTTGCACTGGACCCTGCCAACTTTCCTTGACTCCTCACGGCCACACGAAAAGGGTGACAGTAAAGATAAGAAAACTGAGGTGAGGCTCAGAGAGATGAAGTGCCTGTCAAAGTCACAAACCACGAGAGCACTGGGAACTATAAACCTCAGGCTGGCCCGACAGTAAGGCTCCAGCTTTCCTGCTCCAGAGCTCGGAAGTCTAAGAAAAGAAGGAGCTTCAATAATACAGTATGTGAGGTATTCCAGTGAGGAGGGGAAAGTGCCAGGGGGGCACGGGAAAGGCAAGAGAAGGTAAGAATGGGAGGAAAGGTGAATAACAACCAGTAAGAGGTACAAAAATTGTTTTTTTCAGGGTTTGTCAAATTACATAATTACCTCATCTGAGTAGGAAGAAATCCAATTAATAAGCCCAGTGACCTAAAATCTTACTGTGCATTTTACAACTATATTATATATGACAGTGATTTTTCTGTTACTTTTATATTCCTTCACACGTAATTTGTGGTAGAAAATAGAAAAGTCGGGTTTGCAACAACCAAAAATATGAGCCCAATTCTGCCCCCCAAGAGAAACTTTATCAGAAATGAATATATCATACTATAAAAAGCTATTAAAATATCAACTTACTTCCCTCCTCCGCTATTCAAAGCTGGTGTTGGCCTGGTAAGCAAGTCTGAAATCTGAGAGGATAACTTGGTCTTCGCGGCTGTTTGCTGCTGCACCCTAACTTCAGCTGCATCTGCCAAGTGCATCAGCGTCTTTCTTTCTGGGCTTTCTTCAAAATTCTTACAGCCAATACACTTGCATATTGAGGAACACATTATTTTTGCCTAAAAGATTTACAAAAGGAAAGCTTCCAAATCAAACCCAAAAGATAATGAGAACCAACTGTCCAGCACAGGGAACTCTGCTCAGCGCCCTGTGGTGACAAAGGGGGCGACATGTATACGTGTTACAGCTCATCCCACTTTGCGGTGCTGCAGAAACTAACAACACTGTAAGGCAACTGAACGCCAGTGAAAACTGAAAACAAAAACCACAGGACATCACTGCAACAGATTCTGTGATCAAGTCAACAGATGACAGAGTTAGCTGGTCGACGGACAGACAATAAAATGGAAACATCTCTTGCTAGCAACACCCAACGGGCCAGCTCTGCGTGTAGCCAGGTCCAGTACTGTTGGCCATTCTGAGAGTGGCTATACTATGCTTGATTGAGGCCTTCCATACAATTTTCCCCTCACTATAGATTTTCCTCCTGATATGAATAACGTATATTCTTTCTAAAAAATATGAGTGATACATTACAATATTAAAAAATAAAGGTCATCCATAATCCAGCCACCTCAATCAAATCACCATGAACACATTGGTGATCCCACTTATGCAAACACATACATACAGTATCACATTAAAGGGATTTCACAGATGCTATTATTATTATGAATTCCTCTCCCTCCCGACATTCCACTCTGGATTCCCTAAACCCTTCAGTAGTTCAGTAACCTTATCCAGCAACTACATATTCCTCCTTACCTACTTTTATGCTCACAAGGCAAACCTCCTAACATAATTTCGTTTTCTACAGAGTTCTTCAACAGGGCACTAGTGGCATTTGGGGCAGGATAAGACTACACTCTCAGGACTGTACCCTGGGATGCAGGTTCTTTGTTATCCATGTATTTTTCCAAAAAGTCTCTGGGGGAGAAACTGTAGTAACACCCCTCAGTGGAGAACCACTACTACAGTTTCCGATTCACTTTGATGTTATTTTTATTGAAAATCCATAAACTGGTACTATGGTTTGCATACTTCTGGGTACAAGAAGTTATGAGCTGATAAATCTGCCAGTGAGACCCCAAACTGTAATGACAAAATGAAGGTATTGTTCCTCCGAAGTCCTGCTTGGGAAGCCAGAAGGCAAGTCTTCCTCAAATTAAGGCTGACTTTTCCAACTGCAGTATTTTCAAACTGCAAAAGTAAAGTAATTTCCCAATTTACAAATAAACTTTTTTTTTTGGCTGTGCTGTGAGGCATGTGGGATCCTAGTTCCCTGACCAGGGATCGAACCTGCAGGGGAACCTAGTTCTCCTGCAGTGGAAGCACGGGGTCTTAACCACTGGATCGCCAGGTTAAGTCCCACAGTAAATTTTTTTGTATGCCCTTTCTAAAGTTATTTTCAAAAGATGGTTAGATCATTTTTCCCAACCCATCTCACCTCATAGCATTCACAGTAGTTCTTAAGACATCCTGATCGTTTGCAATTACATCCTTTGCTGTGACGTCGATCAGATTCTCCCTCCTTCCCTTTCCCTATCTTAGGCTTAAAAGCTTCTGGATTTCTGTCAAGGCATGCCTGTCAAAACAGATCAGATATCAAGCCATGTTAAATCACAACAGATTAAACTTCAACTCTGCAAAAGGGAATTAACTTTCTTTGTAAAATACTTGAGCTCAACAAAAAACAGGTGAAACGGGAAACTTGTCAGATAAAAGAAATAAAAAATAATCACCTTTATTGCTTTTTGCCTTTCATTTTCATGTTCCAAGTTATTATAACAATTAGTACAATTGCAGTTGTTGCAAAATTCACCATTTGCAAAGCAATCACAATATCTGGAATATAAAAATCAGTGTAAATCACATAAAAAAGTCATTGTTTAAAGAAACACAAAACTAGAAATTATCTTATTTAGTAGCATTATACATGCAGTAAAGCATTTTAGAAATGTACTCAGAGCCACTTACTTACAGAGTTGACAACGTACACTGATTGTCAACTACAACACAGGGCTCAAAGGTAAAGCCCCCAACCCCTAGAATTTTGGTTTGTAAACCTAGTCCTAGTAGTAACAGCTGTCAACACAAGAGCTATGTGACTTCATGCACTCAAAAGTAAGTTATTTCAAAATCACAGAAAGGAAAAACGTGTGCTATATTCTATTAGTGGAACATGTTCACTTGAACTATTGTCGTGTTTCTTTGGATTCTAAACCCTCATAAGACCCTTGCTTTTTATTTAACTGTTTCATGTCAAATCTCTTAGTTCAGTACTAACAAGCAAATTAATCAACAATTTAAAAGACTACTCAAGAGTACCATCTCACTTAGGAGACCAAACACAAAGCTCCTAAATAAGTTCAAACTTATCAGTAAGGTCAGGACCAGTCTGTCTCCTGCTGCTGTACCTCCTTGGGGTAGAGACCCTAAAATTGCTTCTCTCTTCCCAACCGAGAGTGTTTGTACACTGTCATATGTGCTCCAGCATTCACTTGTCTGTTTACTTATGACTTATGAAATCGGTCTGTTAAGAATTTTTAGTTAGCTCCATTTATTTTTTAAAGCATTTTCAGTTATATCAAATGAGGAAACAGTAGCAACAAGACTTACAATTTTAAACACAGCGATTTTGTACAATTACAGGGCTTTCTGGGCCGACTGGCAGACTCTGATGGGATTATGCTATACAGAGACACACACAAAAATACACATTTTAATCAATCGAAGGTAACTATGTACAATTAGAAAAGTGTCTAACCTGTAAATTCCTCCTAAAATAAAGTTTTAACAAATATATCCACCTCTAATAAAAGTTTGCTATGTTGTTCCATATACATTAAATTCAAAAAGCAAGTTGTAATGTGAAAAGAAAGGTAAAACCAAGATATGGACTAAAATAGAGAAAAGGAAGTTATCAACAGTTTCTAAAGAACAATCCACAAAAAGTTCTCTCTCTTCTAAGAGAACTAAAGTTGAAATCTCCTAAACTCTTGTGAGATTCAATTATAAAACGTAGTAAATAGAAAAGGGTGTGTGAAGTTGGAATCCAGGAGGGGAGAGAAGGGGAAGACTGGTTCCATGCAACTAACTAAAGCTTCTCAACCAACATTATAAAGATAGCAATTAATGGATTAAAAAATATATATGTAAATGAAAAAAAGCAAGGCTCTAAACAATAATTTAAAAACTAGGTAATATCATTTTCAGACATATTCAGATGGAGAAAGAGAGAAAATAGATAGAAAATAACAAAACACCTGCGGCTGAATTGGTGAATGGGAGTAAAAGATAATTTGGGAGTTCTCTGACGATTCCTGTAACTTTTCTGTTTAAAGTATTACAAAATAAAAAGTACTGCAGGGGCACGCTCACGTGGCTTTGAGGGGAGAAAAATCAAGTACATGTATTTTGAAATATGTATGGATATTTGATGCTGCATTTAACCTGATACAACAACTTAAAACATACTCAAATAACTCACCCATTGAACGGAAGCCTTGCCTGGGTCTGGACACCAGGTGTTCCAGTAAAGTTAGAGTTGCTTGCTATAGACACATAGGAAGACTGCTGTAGCTACATATAAAGAAAGGTAATTTCAGACCCTGTTTACAAAAATGGACAATATCCCTAAATATAATGATGGAGAAGCAGCACAAAATCACCTCTTAAAATAGGAATAATAGGAAAATTTCATACAAAAATACTTACTACCTTATGGAGCTCTTCTAAAGACCCAAAACTAATACCAGAGGTAAAAAACAATGTGAACATTTTAAAGTACTACATGGCACAAATGGAAGAAATTCTTTCACAGAGGAATAATTGTATCAAAATTAGAAAATTCTCGATGAATGTCCTGAAAATACTATAGTAACTTGTATCAGCAAGAAAAATGCAATGTGTCTACTTGCAAATAAACTGTGATCATTTATCACAAGTTATAGAGAATGAGAAGTTATATGCATAGTAATTTTCTATTTCGTACTGATTCTAAATATAAGAAGAGATGCTAATGATAAAAATAGTGAACACTAATCTTTTCAACCCGTAGCCAGATATTATACTCCCAAGTACATTTCTTTAACGTACAGAGAAAAATCTGCCTGTCTCTCTCTTATAATCTGAATATATCAAAACTGAACAACAAGCTTAAAAAAATGAAAGTGTTAATTGCTCTGTTATGTCTGACTCTTTGCGACCCTATGAACTGTAGCCCACCAGGTTCCTCCGTCCATGGAATTCTCCAGGCAAGAATGCTGGACTGGGTTGCCACTCACTTCTCCAGAGGATCTTCCTGACCCAGGGATAGAACCTGAGTCTCCTCAACTGCAGGCAGATTCTTTACCATCTGAGATACCAGGGATTGATTCTTACATGAAAAGGAAAACTTCTATCTGCTTCCTAGAAAGCAGCACTCCTAATGAAAGCCAGCCAACCAGACAATGTGGTTCTGATGCCAAAGATAACCAGATGTCATCTACAGCTGTCATCTAAAGATGACCAGGTCTGGAGAGATGGCCACCAGATACGTCACCTGGAAACACATCTTACAGTCTAATTTCCAAGAACAAGTCAGTGGCATCTTATTCATTACAGCCCTTTCTAAACTCACTGGGATGGCTAATCTTGACTCAACCTACTTTCTCTTCTATCTACAAGATCTTGCCCTCCCACCAAACTGTTCTCAGCTCCAAACTGCCTGACTTGTATACCTGACTTGCGTTGTACATATCTAAATGCTAAAGATATATAAAAACAAACTTGGAAGGTTTTATTAACATGTCAAGGTTTTGGGCAGAGTCTTCAACACCGAGTTACATGTTCTTGAGTAATTTTAGAATGTGACAATGCTAGACATCTTAGACCTGATTAACCTTTCCAAGGAGACTTCCCAGGTGGCGCAGGGGTAAAGAACCTGCCTGCCAATACAGATGTGGGTTCAATTCCTGGGTTGAGAAGATCCCCTGGAGTAGGAAATGACAACCCACTCCAGTATTCTCACCTGGAGAATCTCATGGACAGGGAAGCCTGGAGGGCTACAGTCTGTGAGGTCGCAAACAGTCGACTGAGCATGCACGCACACACATGTAAGCTTTTTGAAATGCAGTGACTGGATTTTCTGCCCATACCTGAGTCACGTACTGAGCAGGAAGCACTGCGTAGCCCACGTTCCCTGTTCCTGGAGCTGGGGCCAGCACAGTGCCTGGTGGCAGGTTCGTGAGGTTTGGCTGGATTTGTGGCAGTGGGGTGGCAGGCATGATGAGCCGCTGCTGTGGCTGGCTGGTGGTGACTATCTGAGAAGTTGGATTGATCGGTTTTGGAACAACCTACAAAGAAAGGCAGTGTATCAGGGACCACAAAAATAAATTTCATAGCTTCTCAATTCAGTTGAAATCTCTTACACTGAGAGGATTAGAAGGTCCAAACCATTACACAGAAATAAGCTACAAGGGTATATTGTACAACACAGGGAATATACCCAACATTTTATAGTAACTAGAAATGGAGTATACTATTACAAAGTGTGATTCACTATACTGTACACCTGTAACATATAATATTGTATATCAACTCTGCTTTAATAAAAATACATAAATAAATCTTTTCTTAACTTTCAATTCTAGAGGTAAACTTCTGTTTGGGAGAGACTGAGAGAAGTGGCGTGACACTCACTTGTTTGACTGTCTGCGCTGAGACGAGTGGGACGGACATCCGCACCGGGGTGGTGTTAACAACAACTGGTTTTGCTTTGTAAAAAAGGAGGGAGGAGAAGGACAGATTATTTACAGAAAATAGTTGTTTAAAACATTTAAAGATACTCAGTTCCTTCAGAATATCCTCATGAAAAAGCTTAAATAATTCCACTGGTTTCCTATTTGGAAGAATCTTTAACCAAGAGTTATTTTCAAAATTCTTTAACCCGTGTACCAGGGAACTTATATCTAAGGTAGCTCTAGTCTGCCCGCTTTATGAGGGATTGTCTGTCGTTTAAGATATTCTCCTGAAAATATTTCAACCTGTATTCAGAGGCTATGTAGATTCACTACTAAATCCAGTCAGATGAAATGATGCATAAATTAAAAACTGCCATTCAGAAGCGTGGGTTACCATGCTGTTCTATCTATTTCTACCTCTGTGTTGATATTCAAGCCAGAGAAAATATCATTCTTGTATGATTCATTTACAGAGTACTACTAAAAGGCAGCATAGCAGGAAGGTTAATAATATTATCCCCTTAATTCAACTACATTTCAATAAAAAAAAATTTTTTTTAATGAATATAGTCTCCTAAGTCATAATAAGTCAAGACTGAGAGGTTCAAACCCCGATCCTGCTGCTTTCTCACTACTTAAGTTCTCTTTCTTGTATCCTCGCCTGCAGTGTAGGGGTAGTATCTCCCTCACAGGGTAAGAGGATTAAACATGTTAATTCATGAAAATTTTTTAGAACAGTGCTCAACAAACAGCAAGTGCTCAATACATGTTAGTAGCCATTGTTGTTACTGGTATTGTTACACCTTACTGCTGCACAAATGTCATTGTGAACAGTGTTCCAGGGAAACTACAGTACAAGACACTTGCTCAAAGAGATTGTTACATTCAAGCAGAGCAGATTAGACAAGTACTCAAATAAAATAAAAATTAATTTAACAAAAAAGAGAAAGCAGCGTGGGAGTCCAGAGGAGACGGAACATACATCTGCCTGGCAGGGGATGGGAACAGGAGGAGCTGCATCCTGTGGAGGGCAGAGCCTGAGATGGGTCCTGACCGACGGCCAGGCTGCAGCGCGCCCACAGACCGGAGGACAGAGCCTGAGATGGGTCCTGACCGACAGCCAGGCTGCAGCGCGCTCGCAGACCGAAGGACAGAGCCTGAGATGGGTCCTGACCAACGGCCAGGCTGCAGCATGGGCACGCAGACTGGAGGGCAGAGCCTGAGATGGGTCCTGACCGACAGCCAGGCTGCAGCGTGGGCACGCAGACCGGAGGACAGAGCCTGAGATGGGTCCTGACCGACAGCCAGGCTGCAGCACGGGCACGCAGACTGGAGGGCAGAGCCTGAGATGGGTCCTGACCAACGGCCAGGCTGCAGCATGGGTACGCAGACTGGAGGGCAGAGCCTGAGATGGGTCCTGACCGACAGCCAGGCTGCAACACGGGCACGCAGACTGGAGGACAGAGCCTGAGATGGGTCCTGACCGACGGCCAGGCTGCAGCACGGGCACGCAGACTGGAGGACAGAGCCTGAGATGGGTCCTGACCGACAGCCAGGCTGCAGCATGGGCACGCAGACTGGAGGACAGAGCCTGAGATGGGTCCTGACCGACAGCCAGGCTGCAGCGCGCTCGCAGACCGAAGGACAGAGCCTGAGATGGGTCCTGACCAACGGCCAGGCTGCAGCATGGGCACGCAGACTGGAGGGCAGAGCCTGAGATGGGTCCTGACCGACAGCCAGGCTGCAGCGTGGGCACGCAGACCGGAGGACAGAGCCTGAGATGGGTCCTGACCGACAGCCAGGCTGCAGCATGGGCACGCAGACTGGAGGACAGAGCCTGAGATGGGTCCTGACCGACAGCCAGGCTGCAGCACGGGCACGCAGACTGGAGGGCAGAGCCTGAGATGGGTCCTGACCAACGGCCAGGCTGCAGCATGGGTACGCAGACTGGAGGGCAGAGCCTGAGATGGGTCCTGACCGACAGCCAGGCTGCAGCGTGGGCACGCAGACCGGAGGACAGAGCCTGAGATGGGTCCTGACCGACAGCCAGGCTGCAGCATGGGCACGCAGACTGGAGGACAGAGCCTGAGATGGGTCCTAACCGACGGCCAGGCTGCAGCACGGGCACGCAGACTGGAGGGCAGAGCCTGAGATGGGTCCTGACCAACGGCCAGGCTGCAGCATGGGTACGCAGACTGGAGGGCAGAGCCTGAGATGGGTCCTGACCGACAGCCAGGCTGCAGCGTGGGCACGCAGACCGGAGGACAGAGCCTGAGATGGGTCCTGACCGACAGCCAGGCTGCAGCATGGGCACGCAGACTGGAGGACAGAGCCTGAGATGGGTCCTGACCGACAGCCAGGCTGCAGCACGGGCACGCAGACTGGAGGGCAGAGCCTGAGATGGGTCCTGACCAACGGCCAGGCTGCAGCATGGGTACGCAGACTGGAGGGCAGAGCCTGAGATGGGTCCTGACCGACAGCCAGGCTGCAGCGTGGGCACGCAGACCGGAGGACAGAGCCTGAGATGGGTCCTGACCGACAGCCAGGCTGCAGCGTGGGCACGCAGACTGGAGGACAGAGCCTGAGATGGGTCCTGACCAACGGCCAGGCTGCAGCATGGGTACGCAGACTGGAGGGCAGAGCCTGAGATGGGTCCTGACCGACAGCCAGGCTGCAGCGTGGGCACGCAGACCGGAGGACAGAGCCTGAGATGGGTCCTGACCGACAGCCAGGCTGCAGCATGGGCACGCAGACTGGAGGACAGAGCCTGAGATGGGTCCTGACCGACGGCCAGGCTGCAGCATGGGCAGACCAGAGGAGGGAGGTCGCCGCAGAGGAAGAGCCTGACAAGTGGGGGGCCCGATGCTGGAAAGCTTCGCATTTGAAGCTTCTCTTCAAAAAATGCTTGAAAACAGACAAGTCTGGCTGGGACTAGGGGTTAAAAGTAGGCTAGTGCTGGCCAAAAAAAAAAAAAGCTGACTCTGGCTGTTTTGTTGAAGGTTTTGAATGTCAGGGTACAGATCTATATACTTCATCTGTACTTTTAATTCAGTAGGCGACCAGAAGTTTCTGAGCATTGTGAAGTAAAGAAACATTACTGGAAGAGCACAAAGGGAAGCTGTTCGTGGCAGCAGCATGTAAAGCCCAACAGAGCTGTGAGGAACAAAGGAAGTCAGAATCCCGAGTAGAGAACCTGAGAGCCTGACCTGGGGTGATGGCACTGGGAACGGAAGGGAGGGAAGAGCTGGAGAGTCAGGGTGGCAGGGAAAGGATGGAGACGCAAGCACGAGGGAAGGAGGGCCAGCCGTCCTCAGCTCTCAAGTGACAGGGAAAACGGTGCCATTAGCGCGAAACGCTCAAGGATGCGCTGACTGGAAGGGAAGGTGAAACCTGAAATGGAGAAATGGCGTGAGACGGTGAAATTCAGGAGACAGGCTGGCGCTAGACCTGTGTGTTTGGATCAAAAGGCGTACAAGTTCCAATCAAGCCTACTGCCACTTCCGTAGTCTACAGGAGGGATCTGAGAAGACAGAAAGGACATCCTTCAGGTCTTATTTACACCAAAGGCCTAGAGCCTGTGATGAAAGAGAGGCTGAGATAATAAACTGCTGTGGACACTGAGGCAAACTGTTCTGAACAGTAAAGAACAGACTTCCTTGAACAGAAAGGCTGTTAACAATGTTAAGAGATTTTTTTTTTTTACTTTTGGTGGGGATGGGAGGGTTGATGGCTGAAGACAAAAAGTTGAGAGCCTTGGAAGAACAGGAGACAGAGCGAGTACTCCGATCTGAAAGGGCGCAGGCCTCCGCAGCAAGGTAATAAACTAGGGAGGAGGGGGGAGGTGGGAAGGAGAGACCTCCAGAAAGAGTGCATGGTCAGTGCGGGGGGCTGCGCTCTCTCTGAATATACTAAACATCACTAAACTGTCCCGTGTTTTACATAAGGGTCAATCCTATAGTAGATCTGAACTGTATCTCGATCAAGTTGCTATACAAAAAAAGTGTGTGACCATGAATTACAGGAGCGGTGACACCTGACACCTGATTTGAAACTGTTTCCTATTCTGATTTAATTTAAATACAGGTTAGACTGGTCTCAGCGATACTATGAAGATTAAAAGATGAACTAAAAAGAAATTAAAAGCCTGAATTCATGCCTGGGACATAGAAAAGGGGTCTCTCTACACCACCTGTTCCTTGAAAAGGTGATGCTGGTCACTGCTCCGTGAGTGTGGCAGCAGTGATGTGGAGGTAAGTGCACAGAAATGCAGGAACTTTCCCGGTGGGCTGTGAGATGACAGGGAAGGAGTATGCCTCTTGCCCTCATTCACCCCCCGCAGGAGACTTGAGTGGATCTCATTTGGATTAGGACAGCGGACATGTCCCCACGTGTGCACACACACATGCATGCACACACCAGCACACACACATGTGCACACACAGAGCTAGAAAACTTGGGAACTCGAGGTTTACATCAGCTTGCCATATGCATGCTGGGTTTTAACTGCCATCTGGAGAATGGAGAAAACAGAAAACACAGTGGCCAGAAAAAAAGAACATGATAAAATATACATGGGGGGTGGTCATATTGATGTTACATGCCTTAGTCAACAGTCTAGATTTCTCCTCCTCAACTTTTGAGCATGGTCCCACATTATCCCATTATCCCTCCTGCAGCTTTCACAGAAGTTGGCATAATCTTTAATGTTTTGGTCTTCATAGGAATTCTGAACTATCCTTTCAGAATAGTCTCCTTCAAAACTTCAGAAACCATACCTGCTTTGAGGGCTTTTAGTTTCTTAAGTTGATTTCCTCACTCACCAAGACTGTAAATTATATTCTAAAGAGGTTAATGAACCAAGCAATCTTCTGGGTCCTTCCACTGTGCTATCTGCCATCCAGCCAGAAATTACCATGGTGGAACCTTTGACTACTGGTGTCTGTATGGCTTTAATGGGAAAATGGACAAGATGAGCCCAGTTCCCTTTGGCTTTTAAGTAAATCCCATGTAGGGAACCGAGCCTTTAGAAAGATTTTAGCATGTTTCATGAACTAGAGTGACTATTTAGTATCTCTCTAATGAAAATAGATATTAATTCATTATTTCTATGAAATAATATCTTTTTCATACACCCAGATCTTCCATGGGATATGAGAGAAAGACAAAAAGAGGAAAACTGGGTGAATAGAAAGGAAACAGCATGGGTGGTATATGTATGCAAGTAGGCAGGAAGAGGGAATAGACAGATGTGAAGGAGATGGCGGGGGGACAGAGAGAGACTGCAGGAAAGCAAAAAAGGAAGCTATGGGGAAGCAGGAGGGGGTGAGGGATCGCAAGGAGGCAAAAAGAGAACAGAGAAGCAGAGGGAAGCAGAAAAGACAGATGTGTGGTGGGGAAAGAAGGAACCAGTAAACACACCAGAATTATGAAACACCCAACCTACTCCTCTAACTCTTCTTGGATCTTCAGCTTCCTCTTCTGCTCACACCAAAGACTTATTCTCGATGATACATAAATCAGCGTTAAGTCACACTAGAAGTGGATGCTCAGCATATTTCCATACATACAAACACACAAACATAAAATATAACCAACTGTATCTAGTGACTGCTTTATATCGCTATGTACCTAAGAAAACTGTAGCACTGAGCAGCGCTTGCTAAGCAATGAGAGAAGATAAACCTGACTCCCTTAGTCACCAGTACATGCACATGTCATCTTTCCTCTCATTCAGAACACTGTAACAAAAGATTTTCTTTCATAATCAGTTTAAAGAGAGAACAAAAACTATAATTACTTGAGGTGTCTAATTTTAATACACACCAAAATACTATTTCCCTAAGGCATCTTCTGTTTTCTCCCATCAGTAATTTATAAAACAAGTTTTTTCTTCCACTTTTCCTTAGACTTAGATGAACGAGCTATTAGCAATGGACAGCTCCAACCCTCTGATCCCTTAATAAAAATGAAGGAGCAAACAAATGGTCTTTAATCCGTCTAGCTACATCCAATAAGCAACAGATCATTCACCTGCCATTTGACACTAATGGAATATGCAGTGATCTTCCAAGGAAAAAAATTAGACCCTAAATATAAGCTGTCCTGATCCTTTCAGTTTCAATTTTTTAACAAGTAGATAAATATGGATAAAGGTTGTATGTGTGAATCCGTGTATGTACATCGGGCAGTTGGAAGGATTAAGCACAAACAGAAGTAGGACTACTAACAGGAATACTTCCCAGGAAAAATAAAATCAAGCACAATGACATTTTAACTGATTTTCATTATCAATTATACATTCAAAGTACATAAAGGATGAAGTACATACTAATCATTTATACCTTGCCTACTGGTCATTTCAACTGATCCCAAACCCTGTGCAGTTTAGACAGCTTTGTAGTTTAGAAAAAAAGATTATAAATAATTTGGTTCCCTTTAAATCAATCCCACTGGCATAATGGTAGGTTTTTAAATCAGCAATCAAATGGCTACCCACAACCTAATAAATCATCATCTGGTACTACAATACACTATGTATCAGTATCTAGCAGAACAAAATACTCTAGTTACATACAACTGGGATATATTCTATTTCACTGCCTTCTGCAACAGCTGCTGATTTAAACTCTCAGCTGAAATGCCTGCTTAATCAGGATTTCAGCAAGAAAAGGATCACTTCCTATGATAAGGTTTAAAACATTCATTACTGTTTTTTAAAAAAAATGGTTACCAACCTTGCTGGAGAGGCTGAGTGTTTGTACTGGGATTCTGACTAACTGGCTGGGTTGAGCTACTGGCTGTTGTGGCAGTAACAAGTCGGACATAATGAAACTTGCTTCCAGGCACTTGAATCTGCTGGACATTGGGAGCAGTTGCCAGAGGAATAATTGTCTTAAACTGTGATGTGCTCACGCCTCCAACAGTGATGGTCTGCACAGTTGATTTCACTGCCTATTAAACAATACAACATGGCTATCATTAATCTGGGATTTCACTTTCCTACTCCTTGGCACTTATGACAATTGCTCAATAAAAGAGTATGTTCCTGAATTTCATCAACAGCTGTTGAAAGGAATGACCTGTTCAGAGAGAAATGAATAGTAATGAAAACATCAGTGTAACCAAAATCAGTGAGTTCTACCTTCCATCTCTAGTAGTTAACTTCCTTGACAGTCCAGGTCAGATGACTTGCTATGAAGAAACTACTGCGTAAATTATAAGCACTCACACAGTTTTGTTAACATCAGGTAAAATTTGTAAGAAAAAAATTACTTCAAAACTTTCAGAATTAAGCCTCATTTTCAACACAGAGGAAAAAAGGACACAGCTATTTGGTTTTATTGCTACCCACCAAATTAACTATGGCAAATTTCATATTCACATGTCCTAAAGGAGAAAGAAATCAAAAGAAAAGCCTTCATTAAATCTAGCCAATTCTGGAAGGCATATATATATATATGATATCCCACAGACACAACTGTACCCACTAGCCTATGGGCAGAAGGCCAAACTCAGTCCAAAATTACAACTATATTTTGCTTGGTCTAGGGAAACTAATTTTAGATGATTCAGATCTGAGTCAATATAATCATTTAAAATCCTTTCCTTCAGTCCAACAAAAAGCAATGTAACTTTCCAAAAAGCTAAATGAAACATCAAAGGCAGAAAAGAACAAAAGTCTTTTAAGATGTCTCCAGTTAATGTTTAACCAATGTACAACAGGCTATCATACAAAGAAAAGGTCCAGACAAAATTCTCTAACTAGTTCTATGGTACTGTTTGATAAAGAATTACACCCCCACCTATTTTTCAAACAGCCTTCATGCTAAAAGACAGGTGACATGAGGGAAGTAGTCCAAATTCATTATATAGATAACAATTCATATTCATTATTCAGAGAATAATTCTGAAGAATTTGACCATTTTCATAAAAGTACAGGGGAAAAAGGAAGAGTGTCATTTAGTTTGGCAACTCTACAAATAACAGTCAAAGTACACTACTTCAGCATAAAATAATTCACATATTATCATTAAGCAGAGGCACCACAAAGCAGATTTAAAAAAAGATAAAACAGGTTGGTGGTCAGTGAGTTAAATGAATATATAAAGCTTAAGAAAATGTATACATATGGAAGCTACTTAAAAGTCAAGCAACCTATGAGTCAGATGTATAATGAGGCAAGAGACAGTATCTTTGGGGAATCAACTCTAAATGGAAAAAGAATATTATTTTAAGAAACAAGGTAGGGGAAAGGGGGGAGGACAGATAAACTAGGGATTTGGGATTAGCAGATACATATTACTCTATATGAAATAAACAACAAAGACCTACTGTACAGCACAGGGGATTATAGTCAATATCTGACAATAACTTATCAGGGAAAATGAGCTGAAAAAGAATAGATATATACATGTGCAACTAACTCACTTTGTTGTACACCTGAAACCAAGACAACACTGTAAGTGAACTATATTTCAATTAAAATTTGTCTTTAATAAAAAAAAGAAAAATTTTGTTAAAGAAACAAGTTGCTTCAGAGATAATAATTAAATTTACTGGATACTTAATACACATGGAGGACAGTGCTTCTGAAAACTCTAAGTAAGATTATCTGAATTGAATCTAACAATCACATTATGAGCCAGGCACAGCACGGCACAAGTACGGGGCCTGGTTTACTTAAGTCTGCACAGTGTCCTGTTTCCCAACTCTACTTTCATTTTCTTTTCTTTCTTTTTCTTTTGGCTCACCATGCAGCTTTCAAGACCTTAGTTCCCTGAACAGGGATCGAACTTGGGACATGGCAGTGAAAACGCAGCTTCCTAATCATTGCACTGCCAGAGAATTCTCTCAACTTCTCTAAAACTCCTACATGCTGTATATAACTGGGTCTCTGAGGACAAATCAGATCTGACTATATTTTTTTATCAGTATACATCTATTTATATCTAACAGTTAAATAACTATGTGGATTTAAATCTACCATTGAACTATTTCCTATCTGAACAACCTGTTCTCTTCTGTCCCTTTTTCTCTCCTTTTTTGCCTACTTTAGGGTTCAATATTTTATTATTTATTTCCCTCATGATAAGTTTGTTATATATGTTACTATTTTTATATAGTATTACCCTAGAGATTACAATGTTCAATGTTGGAATTAAATCAGTACTTTAAATATCACCCAGACAACCAAAGAACCACAGAACACTAACATCATTTATTCCTGCCCCATCTTTGTGTTACAGACATATGTAAATATTTTTAAATTCTCCAATTAATTGAAACTCTGTAAGATATTCATTTAAATATACCCACAATTTACCCTTTCCATCCTTTCTATACTCTTTCTGTGCTTTCATTTGGGATTGTTTTCCTTCTGCCTAAAGAACTCCCTTTAGGATTTTCTTAAGTACAGGTCTGCTGAGAAATTCTCTACCCTTTGTTTCTCAAAAAATATTTAATCCTTTTTGCTTAATCTGTTTCTCTTTTGCTGACAAACTCATCTACTGAATTCTTAATCTCAGTTTTAAGCTTCCAGTTGGAAAATACTCATCTAATCCTTTTTATAGCTTTTAATTCCCTGCTGGAGTTCTTCGTCATGTTAAATTGTTGTTCAGTCACTAAGTTGTGTCCAACTCTTTGCAACCCCATGAATCGCAGCACGCCAGGCCTCCCTGCCCATCACCAACTCCTGGTGTTTACTCAAACTCATGTCCATTGAGTTGGTGATGCCATCCAGCCATCTCATCCTCTGTTGCCCCCTTTTCCTCCTGCCTTTGATCTTTCCCAGCATCAGGGTCTTCTCCAATTAGCTGGTTCTTTGCATCAGGTGGCCAAAATACTGGAGCTTCAGCTTTAACATCAGTCCTTCCAATGAATGTTCAGGGTTGATTTCCTTTAGGACTGACTGGTTTGATCTCCCTGCTGTCCAAGGGACTCTCAAGACTTTTCTCTAGCATCCCAATTTGAGAGCATCGATTCTTTAGCACTCAGCCTTCTCTGTGGTCCAACCCTCATATCCACACATGACTACTGGAAAAATCACAGCTTTTGACTACACAGACCTTTGCTGGCAATGTGATCTCTGGTTTTTAATATGCTGCCTAGGTTTGTCATAGCTTTTAAATTCCTGAATATATTATTCTTAGTTATTTAAAAAGCCAGTCTGATAATTATACTACCTATACCTGTTCTGAATACTTTGGTTTGGTTGCCTGATATGCTTAATGATTTCTGACTAAGTACCAGGCATTGTTTATGAAAAATTAAATGAATAATTTGAGGTTCAGAATGTTTTTATTTTCCTCTAGAAAGCATTCACGTCAGCTTCTGGCAGGCAGTTAAAAGTAGGGGCAGGCTCACTCCTCCCCCAACTAGGGCTCCAGGGTTTACCTAGCTTCATTCTCCTTGTTGGGGCCTGAACCCACAGTTTTGTCCTTGAGGTCTCTAAGACTGAAGGTCTATTCAGCTCCTCAACTCTCTGGGACCATGTTCTGCTTTTCTTCTCAGTCTCTCAGCCACACCTCACAAATGCCCTAAGGGAAAGGGTCACATTGAACACCAGGCGACTTCTCTAGGCTTCCCTTGACTTCAAGATGGTGACCTCTTAAGGTCCTGGGTCCCTTGGTGGCTCTCCAATGCCTTCAAACATATTTTTAAAATACTTTTTCTTTTTTAGTTGTTCTTGGTGGGATGGTTGGTCTTCACAAGCTAGTTTCGTATAGTCAAAAACAGAAAATCCAGACTTAGTTTTAATCTTGGTTCCAACATTTCCTAGGTGAGTGACCTTATGCAAGTAACTTAGCTTCTGTGAGCTAAGTTTCCTTATTTGAAAATCTTAAAATGGCACCTTTCACATAGGATTGTTATAAGGATTAATTGAGCTAAATTATATAAGGTGCAAACAATAACTAATCACATATTATTGATACAACACTAAAAAGTGTGAGCTGCTATTTATATTATCATTATACCCATTATAGATGGAGAAACTGAAGCTCAGATAGATTTAGTTAACTTCCCCAAGTTCACAGAGCTAAGAGCAGCAGAGTTAGGGTATGAACCAGAGCCAACTCTGAAGCCCATTTCTTAAGTTAGACATTGTAATGCCTCCTACAGTAGACATTTGGGCTTCCCTGGTGGCTCGGATGGTAAAGAATCCACCTGCAATGTGGGAGACAGGGTTTGATCCCTGGGTCGGGAAGATCCTCTGGAGAAGGAAATGGCAATCCACTCCAGCATTCTTGCCTGGAGAATCCCATGCACAAAGGAGCCTGGCAGGCTACAATCCATGCAGACTGTAAGTTGGACATGACTTAGCAACTAAACCACCACCACAGAATACTGAATAGAAGTATAAATAACATTTTAAAAAACTTTATAATTTTGAAATAATTTTAGATGTCACAAGAAACTGCAAAACTACTACAAAGTTCCCATATACACTTTACCTTCCCCCCCAAAAAACATCTCATATAACCATAGGACATTATCAAAACCAGGAAATTGACATTTTGTATAATACTATCAACTAAACCACAGAACAGACCTTATTCAGATTTCAGCAGTTTTTATGCACTTTTTTGGATGTACACTGAAGAGTGTATAAATTCCTGTAACCCACATCACCATCAAGATACAACATTTTTCCATCACCACAAAGAGACTCTATTGCACTTCCCTCTATAGTCACAACCCTAATTCTTGGCAACCACTGATTAAATTGCATTTTTTAACACCTAAAATAAACTAAGTAACATATCAAAGCTACTAATTTTGTAAAAGACAAAAGTATTTGACTACTACACTTAACTGCTTTAAGAATTCACAAGTTGGTACTTTCCTTGGAGTAGCCTGAGAAACTCCATGTGAACGCATGTCTCTCTGAACATACCATATTAGCAGAAAAATAGTTCACGTACATTCAGTAAAAATCTTCAGTTATTGCTAT